CACCCCAAAAAATCATAACTAAATTGCTTAAACCCATGATAAGAAATCATCTAGAAAGGGGAAAGAAACGTTTTGAACAAAAAAAGCAAAACTAAGTTCAGCAGCAGATTACTCATATGAAGCAATGCAAGCAGAAGATTCTAGAACAACGTCTTTTAAAGTACTGAAAGAAAAATAGTCGGCCTAGACTAATTCTACACTCAGGGAAAATACCTTTCAAAACAAAGCCAAACTAAAGACTTCCTTAGACATCTAAATGCTGAAAGAAATCATCACTAACAAAACAGAACTATAAGAAAATAGAGATTCTGGAGATCCACTAACACTAATCTTTTTTTTTTTTTTTCAGTACTGAGGATTGAACCCAGGGGTGCTCAAACCACTGAACCACATCCCCAACCCTTTCTTATATTTTATTTAAAAACTGGGTCCCAATGAGTTCCTAAGTACCTCTCTTAAGTTGCTGAGGCTGGCTTTGAAGTCTTCAAGTCAGAAGGAACATGGAACAAGTTGGAACCCCAATCAAAACAGAGGAATAAGGAGCACCGGGAACAGTGTACAAGAGAATAAATACGAAAGGCCCTCCCTTTCTTTCTAATCTCCTTCAAGGTAAATGACTGTTTAAAGCAAAAGATGATGACAACGTATTGTGAGATTTATAACATACATAGAAGAAAAAGTGGGACAGTAACATTTGTTTGAAGAAATAAAAATACCAAGACTAGGAGGGAGGAAAAGTCCTGCAGTGAAATGCTACAGAATCACCTGAAGACAGACGACACCATGTATCTTCAAGCAGCCACTTTTTAAAAAGTATTATAGCCCATAGGCCAACAAAGGAAAAAAAATGGGAGTAAAAAACTGCTCAATCCCAAAGAAAAGTCAGAGGAAAAAATAAAGGAAAGGAGAACAAAGAACATGGGACAGTTTGAAAACAAATAGCAAGCCGGTAAATTTAAACTCAAACGTCAATAATCACGTTAAATGTTAAACATGTCAATTAAAAGGCAAATTGTAAAAAATAAAATATATAGAAATACAAGGCAAATTGTAAAACTAAAAAAAAAGTAACATCCACCTGTATGCTGTCTATAAGAAATCCACTTTATATAAAGACACAAATAGTTTAAAAGTCAAAGGATTTAAAGACAGACCATAATTTTTAATCTATTTTAAAACTGTAACAATATACACATAATATTTACCATTTGGGGCATTTTAAGTACACAGCTTAAGTACACAATTCTTTGACTTTAAGCACATTTTCTTTGTGGCACAATCATCACAACTGTCCATCTCCAGAACTTTTTCATTACCCCTAACCTGAAACCCTACGCCCACTAGACACTACTACTACCCCCTGCAACCCCCAAACACCAGGCATCCCCCTACTCTCTGCTTCTATATAAGTGACTACTCTGGAAACCTCCTCTAAGAATGACACAATGTTTGTTCTTTTCTGACTGCATGTTTCATTCAGCTTAACATCTTCAAAGTCCATCCTGCTGCAGCGTGTATCAGATTTTCCTTCCCCTTGAGACTGAATCATGGTCTATCTAAGGTATGTAGCACGATTTGTTTACCATTCACCTGTCAATGCACAAGGGATTACTTCCACCTTTTGTCCTCCGTAAACAGTGCTGCTATGAACATGGTGTAGATACCTGTTCAAGTTCCTGCTTTCACTTCTTTTAGGTATCTACTCAGAGGTGGAATTGCTGGGTCCTGTGGTAACTCTGTTTCATTTTTGAGGAATTAATGTACTGTTTTCTAAACTGGCAGCACCATTTTGCATTCATACCCAAAATGCACAACGGTTTCATTTCACTTTTTCCACATCCTCACTAACACCTGTTTTCTTAAAATAATAATCATCCTAATGGGTGTGAAGTGGTATCTCACTGTGGTTTTAATTTGCATTTCAAGTGCTTTTTGGCTACTGTTTCTTTTCTTTGGAGAAATATCTACTCAAGATCTTTTCCCATTTTTGAATTGGGTTATCTGATTGCTGTTGATGAGGTGAAGGAGTTATTTGTGGATTCTGGTGATCCACTAACACTAATTCCTTTTTTTGTTTTGTTTTGTTTTGTTTTGTTTTGTACTGAGGATTGAACCCAGGGGTGCTCAACCACTGAGCCACATCTCCACCCTTTTTTTTTATATTTCATTTAGAGACAGGGTCTCACTGAGTTGCTAAGCCCTCTCTAAGTTGCTGAGGCTGGCTTTGAACTCCGTGATCCTCCTGTCTCAGCCTCCCCAGCCACTGGGATTACAGGCGTGCACCTCCCGCCCAGCCACTAACACTAATTCTTAAAGACTGAATTAGCTAAATTAATATTAGGTGCAGTAAATTTCAGAGCAAGGAATATTTCCAGGGATTAAAAGGGTCATTTCATAATAAGGTCAATTCATCAAGGAAATATAATACAAATGTTTATGCACTTTCAGAAATTCAAAATACATGAAACCCAAACTGACAAAACTATAAGGAGTGCTGGACAAACGCACAACCCCCTTCAGAAGCTGCAATACCTTCTCCAGACACCTGAGAGAACAGCAGGCAGAAAGTCGGCAAGGGCACAGAAGACATGGCCACACTATCAACCAACTTGACTTAACTGAAATTTCCAGGACACTCCACCCGGAGACCACAGAATACACATTCTTCTCAAGTGCTCACAGAACATTTATCAAGACAGACCATATCCTGGGCCATAAAACAAGTCTCAGCACATTTAAAGCAAATCAAATCATACAAAGTATGTCTTCTTTTTATAAAGAAATTAAATTAGAAGTCAATATTTATTAGGGGAGAGAATAAAGTAATACTACAATGCTTGGGTCGTTCCTCTTACTACTTGTACTCTGGCTGAGGAGGGGCAGATAAATTAGCAGAGGGATTTAAATACTGACAGGTCTTCGATGCTAGGCCTGCCTCACTGGAGTTATGTGGTGTTCCTGAAGATGGTCCCTCCCCTCTTTCAGGCCTATCCCAAGCCCCAGGGGCCCCACTTGTCAGCCTCAGTTGAATCAAGACAAACCTGTTTGATATTTGCTTGGTTCTTCACCCAACTGGTGAAATCAGAAAGAGGAAAGAATGGAAGCAGCACCTACTAGCAGACAGGCCTCTGTAGCTAGCAAAAGCTACGAAACTGTTGCCATTACAGAGATCTCTCCACCATGGGGCAACCATCTGGAAACAAACAAGAACCTTCCAAAAACTCCAGATCCTGCGAGGAAACTGCCAACAGAATTCCCACAACGGAGGTCCAGTTGGATTAAAAAAAGGTCTTCAATGACTTGATTATGTCAATCTGGAAAAACCCTCTACTAGTAGCCAACATTGTCCAGGAATGATTAATATGGCTATTTATCCCAGTGTCCTTTTTAACAGCAAATTGGCATGCTTCAAAGCAATAAGCAAAAGAAAACAAGACTCCTTAGTAATAATAATCCACTTCCAGGATACCAGTGGCCCAGCAAATCCACAAACTCTCAATCACATAACGCACTCGTTAAAAACAGGTTCCTGGGACGGTTCCTCCTGGGTTTTCCTCCAGGAAACATCACAGGAATTTCCAGAGGCAAGGCTCTGTTTGGGGTTTTTTGTTTTGTTCTTTTTTTTTTTTTTTAACAAGCATCAGAGGTGATTTTTAAGGTCAAGAAAATTTGGAAAACTGAGGAACCTGGGGCAATATCACAGAATTAAAGACACACTCACTTTGAAATGAGACTGAAAGTTCAGGAATTCCAGTTCAGTCACTTACTGGCTGACACTAGCGAAGTTATCTGACTCACTCACTTTATCTGCAAAGTGGGATCACCATATCCTTGGATGTGTTCTCAGAATCCAGTATGTTCAAACTGCCGCCACAATAGTGACCAGCATGTAGCAGCCAAGCAAGAAATCAGAGCTAATGCTCTGCAAAACAGCCACCTTCTAGAAGCTGCCCAGATGAAGACGTGTTTAATGAAAACGTCCTCCTTAATGGAAATGACAGGGGCCGGGAGCCAGAGTTCCAAGATAATCTAGGAAAAAGGCTTGTCTGGGCAGGACCACTGCCAAGAACACAGACTCAGGTCAGCATCCAATATTTTACCCCAACAGTCCTTCCTCCCACCCAGAACCCCAAAGATCAGGGATCAGGGCTGCCCAGGGCTGCGACTCTGGACAACAGCCCCAAAAGAGTCTCCCTCCCAAGTCCTTCTCACAGCCACCTCCAGCTGTAGGGTCCACGTTCACAGAACTAGGTCAACTGGCCTCATTTTGGGTGCACCAGCAGGAAATGGGACTCGAGGACAGAAGGGGCAGAGCCGGTGAAGAGGGTGAAAAGGGCCTGGGGCAGCAACTGAAGAACGGGGATATTACTGAGGCCAAGGAACAGAGCCTGTGAAGCTGCCCGAGGTCAAGAGAGGCATTCGCAGTATGCACGCCCTGGTGTGGCCGAGACCCCGAGGTGTGGCCAGCTCTCCCGGTCACTCAACATCGCCGCAGATAACCCCTTCCCAGCCCACAAAGTGGGATAGCGGAGGAAGCAGGCACACACCGGGAACACACACCCCCTGCAGGGTTAGGGCTGCTCAGTGTCGCTGGGCTATCCCACTGGGAATCCTGGGTACAGGACGCGAACAGAGTCCAGGCTGGAAGTTCCGTCCCCTCCCTGCCCTGGGGAAAGGGCACTGGCCAGGATGTCACAGGCCAGAGTCGTACGCCGCTCGTGGGCCTCAGTTTCCCCATCCGTACAAGGGGCAAACTGGCCCTAACGACACCTCTGTGATCGCAGGACGCTCGGACGCGGAGCCAGGAGCCGCCCAGGAACCAGCAGGTGGAGGACGGCGGGGGCGGCGGGCAGTCACGCGCCCCTCGCGCCCAATCGCCGGCCTCGGCCAGGGGAGGCGGGCGGGGGCCACCGGGAGCCGCGGCCGGCGCCGCCCCCTCCTCGCCCGCGGCTCCGCCCACCCGCCGGCCGCGGACCCGGACCCCCCCGAGCCCCGCTCACCTGAGGGCCGCCGCCGCCGCCGCGGGAAAGCCGCAGCCGCGCCCACACTTCCGGGGTCCGCGAGGCCCGCCCCCGCCGGATGTGACTCTCCTCCCGCGTCCGGGCGCCGGAGCAGGCCGCGCTGCTCGTCCCGCGACGTTAGGCGCCCGCTCCGGGGCCCTCGGAGTTGCCACGACACCGTCTCCCACCGGTCGCGGCCTCCAGCGCCGCGCTCGCGGGACGCCCACCGGACCCCGCCCCGCCGGCCTCTGGCCCCGCCCCTCGCCCGGCCCCGCCCACGGGCTCCCGGAGCCAGTGCGCCTGCGCGGACTCCCGCGGCCCTGGGTGTCCGATCGGGACTCTTGGAGGTCTGCTCAGAGCTGCTCAGGAGGAGCCGCCGAGGCGGAACCAGCGGAATCCCAGCACCGAGGGAAGGCCTTGGGTGGGTTAGGCTCAGTCCGCGGACTCCCGGGGCCCCCGCGCACTCCTTTCCATAAGTTGGCTATAGGACTGGCCATGGATCCAAGTGTCCCCGGACAAAGGACGGGCCGGCTCCTCGGAACAGCTTCCGTTTTCCCCAAAGTAACCCGTTTTCCAAGCCCCTAGATTGCAAGAGTCCCTTCTGTGCGGTTAGTGCTTCTTAAACCGCAGCGGGCCTTTTATGCATCCTCACTTGTCTAGCATTGACAAGACCCATGGTGACACAGCAGGTCTCTGAGGCTACTGCTATCTGCTCTGTGCAGCTTATATCAACCAGGCCTGCAGGCGAATGCTATTCCTTTTGCCTTTCAGCAGCTGTGAGCTTAGCCCAAGGGCACCATGCTCCTAAAATTCCAAACCTAGTTAGATATTGATTGAGACCATTCTTGCTCACTCAAAAATCAACTCCAACCAGCTTGTGGGAAATGGGATCCAGGGGCCGTGGTAGCACCCAGCGCCAAATCACCCCAGGTCTTATCCTTCTCCACTTGACAGCGTTCTTTCTTTTTTATGTCAGCACCCTTTCAGTAAATTCCCTCAAAAGTGTTTTTTTTTTTTTTTTTTCTCAAATTCTACAGTAAATGAATCTGATTGGCTAAGATAATCATCTTGCCCCTAGTGTTATTCAACTTTGTGACACTGTGTCCCAGATACCTGACAAGAACAACTTAGGGGAGGAAAAGTTTATTTGGGCTCCCAGTTCCAGAGGTTTAGTCCATGATGGGCCGAGTCCATTGCTTTGGACTCAAATAAGGCAAAACATAATGGCGGAAGGGTGGGACAGAGAAGTGCCACTCAGCTCATGGCAGCCAGAAAGTGGAGAGAGAGAGAGAGAGAGAGAGAGAGAGAGAGAGAGAGAAGGGGCTTCGGGGAAGATGAACCCTTCCAGGTCATACCCCACTGACCCACCTTCTCCAGCCATGTCCCCCTACCTACAGTTACCTTGCATTCAGTCCACTAAGGTGGACTGATTAGGGTACAGTTCTTGGGATCATTGCACCTTAGCATATTCCTGCATTCACAGGAGCTTTTATGGGACACCTCATATCCAAACCAGAACATTCAGCCCCTAGCCCTTAAAAGCTCATGTCCATCTCACAATGCAAAATGCAGTTAGCTCACCTCTGAAAGTCCCGGAGTCTTAACAATTTCAGCATTGCCCAAAAGTTCAAGCTCAAAATATCAAAAGCAAGTTACACAGGTCCAACATACAGTGGCACAGAGTCAACATTTCCATTCTAAAAGGGAGGAATGGAGGCATAGAAAGAAGGGATGGGACCAAAACAAAACCAAAACCCAGCCAGGCAAACAGGTCCTGTAACTCTGTACAACATCTAGCACAGATGACAGCAAGATGTGCTCTCCAAAGGAGAGCAGTCCCTCTCCCTTGGCGGGTAGCAATGCACATGGGCTCTTTTAGCCTGGCTTTCTCCACAGCCAGCTGCCTTTCTTGGCAGACAATCCATGTTACTGGCCTCTCTTAATTCCTGGGGTCTCCGTTCCAGCTTCAGCTCACCTTCAGAGCTTCCTGCATCACCCTCTCCAGGCAGCCCACAGGGATTCTGACCCTGCTTCACTTTGCCTGGCCTCCCAGGCCTTCCTTGAAAATCTCAGTGGAAGCCTCCATGACTCCTTAATTCCAGCATCCTGATCATGGCTATAGTGGCCTCCGGGAAGCTGAGCACAGTTACTTCCTAGCCCACCCTGTGTGAGCAAGGCACCCCCATGATCAGGTCTCAAAGGAGTTTTCCCTTCTACAACCTTGATTCTGCAATGGGTGTGGTCCTGCAAATTCCTGAGATGCCTGCAAGGCTTTTTCCCTAGGGCCTCTTGTGCAAAGTACTCAGCATCTCTTTAGTGTCTATAACCTCTTTAGCAATCACAGCTTCCTTGGCCCCAGGTTTACACACATTTTTCTTTCAGCCAGTCCACAAGTTTTAAAAATTCTTTAGCTCTGCTTTCTGTTCCCAATTCTCACATTACACCCAGATAAAATCTACCAGCAAAATCCAAGTCACTGCCTAAATACTGTGTGCTGGCTTGAAATTGCCTCCACCAGATTAATTAATCCATCATCTTTAAATTCAGTTTCACATAAAATCCCAGGACATGGGCAAAGAGTAGAGAAGTTCTTTGCCAAAATGTAACATGGGTGGCCTCTAGTCCAGTTCCTAATAGAGTCCTCATTCCCCTCTGAAACCTCAGGAGGGTTCGTGTCTCCTTTCTGGTCTGCTGGGTTCCCACCATGATCACCCATCTAGCTCCCGTTACGACATTCAAACCCTTTTCCAGCCTGCATCCACCACACTTTTCCAAACTCCTCCTGCATTCTAGCTCCAGAGGCTTTTGAATCCCATGGTCTGGTTAGTTACAGCAACGACCCCACTTCTGCTACCAATTTCTGTGATAGCCAGCTTTGTGTCACTGTGACTGAAATCCTTACAAGAACAACTTAGAGGAGGGAAAGTGTATTTGGGCTCATGGTTTTGGAGTTTCAGTCCCTGTCAGCTGGGTCCTTTGCACTGGGCCCGAGGTGAGGCAGAACATCATGGTGGAGGGGCATGGTGGAGGGGCATGGTGGAGGGGTCCTGTCCACCTCGTGGCATCAGGAAGCAGAGAGAGGAAGGGGCCACAGGGCAGACCTTCCGGTGGGACTCACCTCCAACCACTCCCCACCTTCCCACAATCCATCTGAACTAGGATGGACTGATCAGGTCAGAGCTCTCCTCACCTAAGCCTTGCATCTCTGGATGTCCCCGCATTAGCACGGGAGTTTGGGGGGGACACCTCATATCCAAGACCCCCATGGAACAGAACTTCCTCATGCTTGCCACCTCACAGGCCACCAGAGAGCCTATGGACTCATGCCCCTTGCATCAAGTGGCCACCCTCTCTAATCAGTGGCCACCCCTCAGAGCACAGCCTATCCTAGAAGGGAGCAGTGAAGAAGCCAACTCAGCTGCTGGCCCCAGTGCCTGGCAATTCCTTGGGGGTACCTTGTTGTTGGTTTTGCAAGCATTTTACTTTGAGCCTAATGTAAGAACTAGCATTGACAGTAGGTGCCAGAAAACTAAGATGAACTATTTCACTTAGGTCAGGAGAGCCAGGGCCGACGACCTTGTTTTTTGCCACAGACCCTTCTGAGCTATGCATATCAGTTTTGAGGGGGAAAAAATTAGAAGGCACTACAGATGGATTAGCTGGCACTTATATTCAATGACACTTTCACTCACTCATACCATGCAGGAAGGTGGAATGTGATGGCTGGAGCTAACGGAGTCATCTTGAACCATGAGGCAACTATGGAAATAGGGGCCACACCCAGCAGCACGAACAAAATAGTAGACCCCTGGACCCTGACACCACAGGGCACCATGACACTGCTGGATTCCTTCCTCTGGACTTTCACATGACAGGGAAATAAGCCTTTGTGTAAGCCACTGTTGTTTCCACTCCCCATTTGTCCATTAGATGACTCTGCTTCCTCTAGAAAGTCCCTCTTGTATCCTGAAGGTCAGGCAGGTGTCCCCTTGTATGTTATTGACGTCCCCCACGTCTCCCTCCTTGAGCATTCACATTTTCCTGCACTTAACCTCCCCCCCTTCCCTCTAGGCAATAACTTCTAAGGACGGGCAGAGACCCGGGTTCCTGCACCGTCTCATGCCCACGCCAGGAACTGCTAAAGCTAAAGACCCGTGAGTGAGTGCCACCGGCACCTTGAAGTGCCAGGGCAAGGGACAAAGCGCTGCATTCTCAGTGTCCTGGATCATTGTCAAGCCCTGGCGGTGGGCTGGGCCCTGCTATCACCAGAAATGGGGGGCGCCGGCAGAGGCCGGGGAAGGCAGAGGACAGGTGGCCCTGACACATGGGGGGGGGGGGGGGGATTTTCTAAGTTACAGGACAAAGCCAGTTTGAGAAGCGTCGCCTCCCCTTGCTCACCTTCATTCAACCATTCCACGCCCCCGACCACCTGCCCACCCACGCCGTGGGCACACGGCGAGCAGGTGCTGTCCCCAGGCTCAGGGGAGCCACATTCTTCACCGGGGTTGAGAGGAAACAGGGAGGTCTGTCTTATCCCACATAGCCCCGTCCTTCAAATGACCTTGATCAGGAACAAAAAATACTAAAGTGGAGACTTCCAACCGCTTCCTCTCTGCCCTCTTGTTTGGGTTTCCGTCCGGCCTGTCCACCGGGTGGGTGGGCTGCTCCGCACCGGGTCTAGTTACACTGGCGCAGAGGCCGGCGAGGGGCTGGGCGCCAGGGAGGCTGGACAGAGCTTGAGGGAACGAGGCCACTGTGGAGACCTGGGGAAGGGATGGCCACTGTGGAGGCCTGGGGACAGGGGGTGGCCACTGTGGAGACCTGGGGAAGGGATGGCCACTGTGGAGGCCTGGGGACAGGGGGTGGCCACTGTGGAGACCTGGGGAAGGGATGGCCACTGTGGAGGCCTGGGGACAGGGGATGGCCACTGTGGAGACCTGGGGAAGGGGTTGGAAAGGCAGCGTTTACAGGCGGGGTCGCAGGGCGGCATGCAGAGCCCCTGATCAGGTCCCCAAGACACCGTCAGTGAGCACGGGGTGCCGCCGTCATTCTGGATTTGGAAGTCACCTTCATCCGCCCGTTTCTCCCTGCGCCTTCCTCCGTGTGCGCAGCCTCCACAGCCCAGAAAACCACTGCGCCTGGCGGCAGGGCCTGGGTGCTGCCTACAAGTATCCATTCTCCACTTTCCCCAGAAACAGAGGCTATTG